AACCCATCGGGAAACTAATCGTACGACCACTGTCCGAGTCGAGGGGCGTGAATGCCATAACACTCTGGGACATGATAACGATCCCGGAGTACCCTCAATAGATCCTCGGTCACCACCGAGTCCACATCGTGCCATGACTTGAGAGTTTCAAGCGCGGCAGAGCTCCCTATGCCCTCTGAGGGAGCGCTATCGGAGGACACACTGACGACTTCAGCTCGCGGGCCCCCAAAGGAAGAAGACAAAGATGAAGACGGAAACATCCTGACCTCAAGGTTGGAAGAAAGAAGCTGGGGCGCGGGATGAAGGACTGAAGCAAAAGTGATGGCAATTGCTCTGGAAGGGGCTTATAAAGGGCAAGCTACTCCACTACGAGACGACGAATGGGCTTCCCGAGGAAAGAGATGGTCGCAGCATTTAAAACCCATCATAACCCCTTAGATTCGCCAGATTCACCGGCCTCAGAGCTCCCGCCAAACGGCGCCTCGTCACCCGAAATCTCTCGTCGGAGGCCATTTGAAACAAAAGTTTCCCACCAAGTCCCGCGCCGCTCCACCTGGCTCACCACGTGGCATGATGGCATCCGGGCAAAATCCGGCGTGCCGCCCAACGACGCCACCCAGCCTTCACTCGACCCACAGGTCCAGCCCCTGCTCGGGTCGCTCCAGATCGGTTCTCGACTTGCGACTCGTCGGCACCAAAACCTGAGTCCGAGATCAATCACTCGGCCCACAAGCACATTCTTTAACCGAGTCACTCTAGCTCGATCCGTGACTTGCGACTCGCCAAATCTCTCGCCCGGGTCGCTCCAGATCGGTTCTCGACTTGCGACCTGCTGGCACCAAAACCTGAGTCCGAGATCAGTCACTCGGCCCACAAGCACATTCTTTAACCGAGTTGCTCCAACTCGATCCTCGACTTGTGACTCGCCAAATCTCTCGCCCGGGTCACTCCAGATCGGTTCCCGACTTGCAACCCGCCGGCACCAAAACCTCAGTTCGAGATCAGTCACTCGGCCCATGGGCACAGTCTTTAACCGAGTCGCTCTAGCTCGATCCTCGACTTGCGACTCGCCAAATCTCTCGCCTGGGTCACTCCAGATCAGTTCCCGACTTGTGACCCGTCGGTACCAAAACCTGAGTCCGAGATCAGTCACTCGGCCCACAAGCATAGTCTTTAACCGAGTCGCTCCAGCTCAATCCTCGACTTGCAACTCGCCAAATCTCTCGCCCGGGTCGCTCCAGATCGATTCCCGACTTGCGACCCGCCAGCACCAAAACCTAAGTCTGAGATCAGTCACTCGGCCCACAGGCACAGTCTTTAACCGAGTCGCTCCAACTCGATCTTCGACTTGCGACTCGCCAAATCTCTCGCCCAGGTCGCTCCAGATCAATTCCCGACTTGCGACTAGCTGGCACCAAAACCTGAGTCCGAGATCAGTCACTCGACCCACAGGCACAATCTTTAACCGAGTCACTCCAACTCGATCTTTGACTTACGACTCACCAAATCTCTCGCTTGGGTCGCTCCAGATCGGTTCCCGACTTGCAACCCACCGGCACCAAAACCTGAGTCCGAGATCAGTCACTCGGCCCACATGCTCAATCTTTAACCAAGTCGCTCCAGCTCGATCCTCGTCTTGCGACTCACCAAATCTCTTGCCCGGGTCGCTCTAGATCGGCTCCCGACTTGCGACCCATCGGCACCAAAACCTGAATTTGAGATCAATCACTCGGCCCACGGGCTCAGTCTTTAACCGAGTCGCTCCAGCTCGATTCTCAGACTTGCGACTCGACGAACCCCTAACCGAGTCGCTCCAGCTCGATCCAAGTCACTCCAACTCGATCCTCATACTTGTGACTCGACGAATCTCTAATCGAGTTGCTCCAGTTCGATCTTTGACTTATGACTCATCAAATCTCTAACTAAGTCGCTCCAGTTCGATCTCCGACTTACGACTCGTCAGATCTCTTACCGAGTCGCTCCAGCTCGATCTCCGACTCGCGACTCACCGGCCCTAACTCCGAGCCGCGCCAACCCAGTTATCCGACTTATGACACATCGATCTCATCTCACCTGGTCCTGGTCGTCCGACAAACGAAGCCAACCTCTCCCGAGGCACAGGACGTCACCCCTCCAAACTGTCTCGCAACAGGCCAATCCAACTTTCCCTCATAAGCAACCAATACCTCTACAGTATTCTGACCCAGGCATGCCTCTCGCCCAGGCATGCCTTTCTTGTTGCACCAAATTCATTGCTCAACTCCTCAACTTAAAACATGAGACATGAAACTGTCATGGTATCAATTTTTTGCACCAACGGAGACACAATCACCCTGTCAAACAAGGAAATATTAACATCACATAAACAAATAGGAAGGGGAACACAAGAAACAGGTGGAAACTATAAGGAGATACTGTCAACTCATCAAACCTTAAGTTTATTACCCCAACTGACCTCTTCAACTTGAGCAGGGCCTGAATTGACTCCTAGTAGTGATGAGACAGAGTCATCCAAAAAGTGACTATCCTGTAAAAGCCTGCCATCTCCACCAACAGTGATTACAAGATCCACATGAATAATTGGATGGCACAAACTACTGCAGATCACTGGTTTCCAATCGATAAATTTGCATTGCAGAACAGCCTGACAGAAGTTGATTGTATCCTTATGCATCTTGTCTCTGTCATTCAAATGACTTCCAATCTGCAAGGCATCCCAGAGGAGTCAATATCAAGTTAATGCAAAGCAACATCTGCAAGAATATCATACAACATCATAAAAAGAAATTTAAACCACGAGAGCAGGTGGTGAACATCATACAGTTTTCCATTACGACGAGGAAATATCAAACTGAACAATCAAACCTCTTTTTTGGGGAAGAAAATCAGCAACTGAGAAATATGACCTTTTGTCCTTTGACTTGTATGCTCACAATATTTATCATGAAAATCAATCACCTTCAATTAATTCGGGGGTTGTAGAAAATCTTCGCTGCATATCATATATGACAAGATCATGCAAATATACATTATTAATCAAAATTCTTTTTCAATATGGCATAGAAAGTTCATATGCACACATTGCAGATTATTATTCAGAAGATCCCTCCAAAATAAATCTTTACATGCTTGTTTTTAAATGAGAAAAAAACTAAGGCGATCCAGTAAACGATGAAATTGCATATTACCAACTTTTTTTGGGTTTCAACACTCACACACCACAGCTACAAAGACACTGTCAAGATGAGATCAAGCTTCATTTCATGTGGAGAATCTTCAGGCTCACAAAGATAAGACATAAGATTCAGTTGAGGTGAGTATTTGAGTTCCTTACAATGAAGAAGTCAACAATCTCTAGCACAATAGGAAAATTTAAGGACACATAGCCCATATATGCCAACCTTGATTCCTCATGAAGAACACAGAGCAAGAATAAGATATTTTAACATTTGCAATTCCAATATCATCCCAAACTAATACCAAAGTATGAGACGCTTAGATAAATTAATTCATCACAAAAACACAATCCTTTTGAGTTACCAAGTTGCAGGACATTTCATCACATCTTAAATTACATGTACATGCAGTGTGAACTAAGTAAGCATAACTCCAAATGTTACAACATGCGCATCGTCAATTTATCATAACGCAAGCCAGAAACATAATCCAGCATCTGCATCCCATTAAGATCATAATTTTGGCTCAAGTAAGTGATCTTACTCAATTGTCCATCTTCAACGAGTTAGGGTCATCAATCATTGGTTCTCCCTTCACAACACAGACACTAGGTAGGACTTCAACCATCCAATTCATTTCCTCCTCTCTTTACTATTAAACCAGAGGATCATCAATTCTCCCTTCACAACACATACACTAGGTAGGACTTCAACCATCCAATTCATTTCCTCCTCTCTTTACTATTAAACCAGAGGCCATCTTTGACCTTAAAAAAAACCCTAAAAGATCAAACAAAAACAGGGAATTGCAAATGAGGGACACTTGTACAGACCTCAGAACATCTTTTTGGTTGCTTTCGGATCCGAACCCGATGAACCCATCATGTTGCAACTGAATCGAGGTGGTATCCAAGTCATAAACTCTATATTTATTTAAAGCCCAAATTAACGATCGGATTTGGAATCAAGCAACGTCATTATCAACGTTAGCAAATGGGCTACGTAATTTTACGTTCCAGAAGTTAGAATCTCATGCGCTACAAAATTATTAACACGAAGTTGCTGCTCTCGATGGGTTATTCTTCTACATTGACTTGGTCTGGGAAGACAATGCTCAATTAAGATTCCCAAATTCAATGTGGTAAATAGTCAGAGAGAAAAATTAGACCAAATCCGAATAACGTGTTATTTAATGTTTTTGTAAATCATCATTCATAGAAGTTTTCTCGTTACAAAAATTTACGTAGAGAGCTAATGATTTTCATATTTATTTTTGGACGAATTCTTTTTTTTTAATGTTTTTGAACCTTTTTTGTCCAAGAGACGTCTCCTTTAACATATTTGCCAATGGGGCATCCACAATTTGTCATGATCCTTGAAAATAAGTAAATTAACTTGTTATAGATCTATAATATTTGTAGCACATTTTTTTTAAAGAGTAAGTATAAAGATGAAATTATGTTCAGAATCTCATGATAATCTATCGAAACTTTTAAGAACTAAGCTAATAAATATCTTCAAAAATATACTAGCTAAAAATAATAATTCTCAATTTTTAATAAATAGATTAATGTATCATCATTAAATTAATATTTTAACATAATAACATAAAACTAACATCAACAAAATATTACAATTAATATATCAGCGTACTGCGTGGGGCCCCGCCCTTCTCGTTCGAGGTGGAACCGTGTTGCCTTTGCAGTCGTGGCAGGTGACCCCTTCGAAACGTCGTACCATCGACTCAACGCGTTAGGCTACGGCTGTTATTTACGGGTAATGGACCTTCTGCTTTCTGTTTCATGTTATTTTTGGCTCCCCTAAACGACCTTTCTCCCTCTCAAACTCGCGTTTCACACGGCATACAAATCTCTCTCTCTCTCTCTTGTCTTCTTGAATCCCGATCCCATCTGCCGTTCGCTAGCGATCTCGCTCCGGGGTTTAAATCCCTCGATCCCGAAGAAGGTCGTCGCAGCCCGCCCCCGGTAATGGAGGGGAAGCCCACGGCGCGGTTCTCCCTCGGCAAGCAGTCGTCTCTCGCCCCGGAGCGCGACGATGACCGGTCGGCCGAGGTCCCCCTATCCGGCGGCCCCGCCGCGAAAGTAACGCAGGTCCCCGAGGAGATAGGCTCCGGCATCCGCCTCATGTTCCTCGCCAACGAGGGCGACCTGGACGGGATCAAGGAGGTTCTGGGGTCGGGCGCCGACGTCAACTTCAGGGACATCGATGGGCGCACCGCCTTGCATGTCGCCGCGTGCCAGGGGTTCGCCGACATCGCCCAGTTGCTGCTTCGGATAGGGGCTGAGGCCGACCCCGAGGACCGGTGGGGCAGCACGGTATGCGTTGGTTAATTTGCCGATGATTATTGCGAAAAAAGATTCGTTCTCTCCAAGTGGTTCTTGATACGTGAAAGATATTCGGGTTCTTGATTCTTGAAGAAAATATTCCTTCTTCCCATTCTTGTGAAAGTGATTCGTTCTTTCCGGGTATTTCTTGATTATTATGGAGAAAAGACTCGTTCTTTTCCTTTGTTCTTTCTACCTCTTCTGATACTTTCCGTTTTCATGTGTTTTCGTACGAATTGCTTGATTAATGTTTTGGGTGACTGGTCATATATCTTTTGTAGTGTAAATGAAACAGACGAAGAGGCTGTAAAACTAATAGGGGTTGGATTGTCTGTCTTGATCTAAGTGATTAAATTGACATTTACTTCCAACGACCTCAAGCAGTTTTTCTTTAAAATGAAAAAGGGAAGCGATCATGTAAATTTAGAGTTTGATACGAATAATTTTCTCGGCTTAAGTCTAAAATAGCTTTGGTTACAGACTAGAATTGGCTGGGCTGAATTTGTCAAGATGATCGAAGGACAAAAAAAGGGGGGGCAAAGTTAAAAACCAGCAAAATGATTGATGTTTCTTTTTTATTATGTAATTTGATTTCATACTTTCATTGGTCAATTTCCCACGGAATCTCTCCTGAAAGTTGGAAATCCGGTTTCCCTGTTCAGCTTTGAATTTCATTAGAACATGGGGAATGTGTCCTAAATAATGTTTGTTGATGTTCGTATTGTCCATTTTTCCTAAACAGAATAGCAATAATTATAATTTTTAGATTTTTAAAGGATGATTTTGATTATTCTATCAAGAAGTTATGGCTAATAGAAAACAAATAAGCTGAAGTTATAACCAGTAGTCAGTTTCTTCTTTCCTTGCCAATCATACTAAGTTGGTTTGAGGGATTTTTTCTATCATTGTAATTCTTGATGTCTCCATGCTTGCCACCTCTAGATTCAATTTAATAAGCACTTCTTTGTATCCTTCTTTAATTAATGAATCAGATTAATTTGTTTTTTCTTAAAATGCAACAGGGTGGAATCTTCTTAGGACATCATAGTAGTGACAAACTCTAGATCTGTATTCCATTTTGGTTTGCTGCTTACTATTTCTCTACAAAGAAGTTCTTCCTGCTGTATCGTCTTCAAGATTCTAGTATAATTTTTTGTTTCAGATTATTTTATTGAGTTAAAAACCTGTTTATCATGCAGAGTCTGTAAAGTTTGTTATTTTCTTTTTACTCTGTTAGTGAATGTTCTCTCTTCAATTTGACAGAAAGAATGAAGCTCAGTTATCTTTAATTCATTGAACATCATCATTGTTTTTTATTTAGAGAGCAAGAAGTTGGTTTTGGAAACTACATGGGGAGGCTTACATATATCTTTATCCCATTGAGATTTGTCCAGAGCAATCTCTGCAGATAAATTAAGAGTCCTTTCTAATTGTTTCTATTCAAGTATCTTCTTACGTTTTCTTCCCTTTATCTAGTACCTCCAGTTTGAATTTATTAACCTTGCCTAATCTGCACGTTCGAAATTTCTTTTTGGATATGTATTAACCATATTAGATCTTTCTTTTTTATTGTTTTCTTAAACCTTTCACCAAAACAATTGTTCATAATTCTATCTTTTTAGCTAACACCACGTATTAATTTCAATATTGCTATCTGGTACTAACTGTGGTGTGACCTTTTTCTTCACCTGACTACTCAATACTCTGATCTTTAAGGCATAGCTGACCTTAGAGCTATCTTTTCTAGTTCCGTTGTTTAGGAGGCAATTGGTTGAGCAATATATTTTGCTGTCCCTACCCATTTTAATGGTTCAATCACTTCGTTGAATAATAGATCCAATAGTAATCCCTACCACCCCATTCTTTTTTTCTGGATCTATTTCAACTATATCTTTGCTTTTCTAGTTACATTACAAGAATTGCATATATGTTGTAGTTTAAGTTCCATTTCATATGTTTAGTCGGAATTTTACTTAACCTGATACATCTAATTCTTAAAATTTATCTCTGTTAGTTTTAATTCCAAGTTTATCTATCTAATCATCAACAATATAGTGTCATCAACAATAATACATACAATGAAACTTCCTCTGTTATGTCCAACAACTTTTCTGTTATGAGTGCAATTAGATAAGAAACAAAGGCTGATTATTAATACAAGTTGGGTAGCCACTTGATTGGTTTTGTGCTAATAGCTCCATCACATGTACTTTCATATCACCAAAGTAAGTCATTTAGGAAAGTTTCGCCAGAAGAGGTAGAGGTTCTATCTAAGAAATCTTTACTAGAAATAATAAGAAATGATTGATGGTGGATATAGTGATATTGCCCTAACCTTTCAGCGGCAGAAAAAGAACCCATGTAGTTGACCCTAAATAGTTTAGATTGCTCATTTACTCTTATTATCTATACATTATAGTAATTCTTTGAACTCATTTTTTTTCCTTTTTTCTTAAATCCATTGTATGTGTCGCTAGGAATTATATTGTAGGTCATTTCTAGGCTAATAGATATCTCGTGCAAGTTTTTCCCCTGTATTTCTCATTAGATCGATACCACATCAATTTCTGTAGGTACTTATCATCTTTCTTCAATCACCTTGTTCAAGGTTTTTTAATGTGTTTTATTACTTTGGTCCTATGGTAGCTTTTGCAACCATGGAAATATGAATATCGTCCTTGTTATTATATAAATTATTGAAAATGTTTTTTTTCGCTTCAATAATTTTTTTTTAATTTTTAATCTCTTAATGTTTTATAAGCTGGCTTGTAAAGTTACTTCCGAGCACTTCCAAGTTGTAGTTTGTAAAATTACTCTTAAATCTGCTAAGGACTTTCTAGGTCTATCACTCTTATCTATTCTAGAGGTGCAAAAAAAAAAAAAAGGTTTCACAATATTTAAGTCCTTGTGAGCCATGGTGATGTTCAACCAATACAATACATTTTAGCATAATTATTAAATAAGTAGATCTTATTAACATTGGATCAAATGTTTTTATTTTCTATAAGATACACCATTGTTTGCCATCAAATAGACGACATTTCTTTTTACCTCATAAAAGAATCCATGGATCTATGAGGTATTCTTCACATTTCTTTTCTTCAGATATATTTCCTTATTACTTTATCATTAACAGCCACTTGCAGACGCAATACACTACAACAACAATGAAGTTATTAGGCTTTTGGAGAAGAATGGTGCCAAAGTTCGGGTATGTCATGCAAGTTTGGATCATGTTATTTTCTATGATAAGCTGTTGTCTAATATTCATTCTTGTCTCTTTGTCCCTTATTTAGGTTGCTCCCATGCATGTCAAAAATGTTCGCGAAGTCCCTGAATATGAGATCGATCCGAGTGAGCTTGATTTCACAAACAGTGTTGACATAACAAAAGTACTTACACTTTTATTTGTCCTTTGCAACTACAAGAATTAATGGTCTTAACTTTTAACAAAATCCCTGATGGTTGTCATTTTCTTTTTCTTGTTCTTACACATGAAATTCAAAGTAATAATGTGCTGTCCTTTTAGCTTGTTTTCTTAATTAGAATTTATTTTTAATCTTTGATGCATTGTGTTTATTGCACGGAGAAGAAGAAAATCCAAGCATAACACTTAGGTGAGGACTTCTTTTTTGATCAACTATCTACCATTAATGATAACAACAGAATTAGTCCACAAACAACTTGAAATAGAAAAGTCTATTCTATTACTGTTAGAAGGTGGTGCAGCATCTTGGTTAGCTCCATTAGTTCCTAAATTGGCTATCAGATTCTTTAAAAAAGGTTTCTCCACTTCTATGCTTCGTAGAATTGGGCTCCTTACTCATTTCCAATGCTGGATTGGCGTATTTTTCCTTCTCAAAAACCACGTAGGAATACTCTATGCTGGATCAGACTCTTGTACTTAAGTCTGTTGGATTGACACATTGAGGGTCACCAAGCTGTTTCTGAGCCGAGTCATGCTAAACTGACCCATGTTTGTACTTATTTTTATGTTCATGAAGACCAATCTAGAAGATTGGTTTGACTATATTGGAAGCTGACAGGAGAAGATCTGGAGTTGGCTGACACCTAAGACAGATGAAAATGTTGCTTCTTTTATAAGCAGATCCTTAACAAAAAAAAAAAAGAAGATAAGCATATCAGGGGATAGCACAATAAATGATGCTATTAGGCAATTAGTTGTTTATTATCTAATAAGATGAACACATATGCTACCTTTTTGTGCAAGCTACTCATCTTTTGGAGATCCTTATTAGTTGTGTTGTAGTAATTGAAAATGAATTGGGGTACTTTGTGAAATATTTGGTCTTAAATTTCAAATATACTTCTATCAGATTCTGCTTTAGAATGGGTTAATCACCTATCTGAATTAGATACAGTAATCTTAATACTTGATGGTGTATATACTGGCTCAATTAGAAAAAAATTGTCTTTATTTGGTTTATTCAGTCCAACTAGGAAAAGAAAAGGGGTTTAGCTTCTAATTGCTTTGTTGAAAAATCAAGTTGGGGTGACTTTTTATGTTTGAAGTTCAAACTTTGAACTACGATTTAGTAGCTTAAGATCTTGTGATTGAGACATTTTTATTACTTTTTCTTTTTTTTAGGTTGAAATTGTGCTCAGCCTATACATAGGAATTGAACAAATGAACTTTTATAGGTTCACATATTGTTTTCTAAATCTTTAACTTTGCATCATCTAGTGTTTTTAAAAGGCACTCGGGTGAGGCAAGACCCGAGCACCTTGCAACACCTCGGGCCGAGACGTTTCAATAAAGAGTCACTCAAGCACACGGTTGAGCTCAGGCATTGGACAACTCGGGCGCACACTTGGGCATGTGCCGAAGCCAAGTTGATCGCGGTCAGCTTGGATGAAGTAAGTTGGTCCAATGGCTCCAATCGAACCAACTAAAATCACTTACCCTAACCCCCCGAAAAGTGAAAGAAACCAAAAACCAGCAAAGCGAAACCCTATCGCTCGCCAACTACCTTTGTCTGCCATTGGTTTCCACCTTCCCCCCACCTTCCTCCATAGTTTTTTGTCAGTTACTTCTCCATCTGCTCAGTCCTCTCTTTCTCATTTCATAGGTAAACATCACATTGATATGAAAACACTGCTTAGAACAGAACAGCTGTTAAAAAACACTGCATAACACCCACCTCAAATTGCACCCCATTTTGAAACTACAGCTTAGAACTGTAGGTAGGAATATCACATTCATATCTTGTCTTATTTCCTGCAAAACAGCACCCTGATAGGATTTTTATTTGTTGCAATTTGATGTATTTTTTTATTTTTTCATTCAAATTTATCAGTTGTAATATATATTTTTAAAAATTTAATATTTGGGAGTGCTTCGCTCGGGTGGGCACTTAGGCGAGCGCTAGGGCATTTTGGGACCTTGGTGCCTTCTAGCGTCTAGCACTTTTAAAAATATTGGCATCATCATTTAGTCCCTTTTTCTCTCCTATCTTGAAATTACTGATCAACTTCACTACTGAAGAGGAGAAAATGCTCCTCTTTCTCTCTTCCAGTTGCATGGTAGATCAGCTGAGATCATGGCTTAAGATTGCCTTTCCAATGGTTAAGTGGTCTCCTTTTTCACTCTACAAGTCCTTTGTCCCTCACTTCCTTTTTCTCTTTCTCAGTCATTTGTCATCTGCTGTTGCTGCTATTTTGCTTAGAATTCTGATGGCTGTTCCTACACGGGTGATTGGCAGGTCTGAATTATAGGACCTGCTCAATGTCTATCGCATGCACGAATACAGGGTGAACCTTGTATTCATGATGCTTTGTAGGATGCTTTGGTGATGTATGAAAATTCTTAACAGAAAACCAGTTAGACTGGTAGAACTGCAGTACCACCAAATTAGAATTTTGTGTGGGTTGATTGCAAATAATTGGATTGATCTTGGATGCACAGTTTCAGGTTAGCTTTAAGTCTAAAAGTCCCTAGGTCATTATCTGACATAGACCTGACCTATTCCAGCTATTCTGAAACCAAAATTTTCATGTCTCATATTGATTACTTATGTTGTTGTCTTCTATGATCTTTTCATCTTGACAGTATCAAGAAAGCAGTTTTTGTTGCAAATTTGATTGCAAGGTGAGATGTAATCTGTTCGAAAGAGTTGAAGGCAGCTTCAATACTATCTTATGAACTCGAAAGTTGAAACATCATTTATTATGGTAAAACAATCATTAATAAATTTTCTTATGTTATTGATCAATGAGCAGAGGATGATGACCTTTGTTGATCACTGAGAAGCTGTTTCACATGATATAAGTGCAATGATGCCTGATTCAAGTTAGCCTAAGCAACCATCTACTTGAAGAGATCAATATTAAGCTTATTCCTATTACACCATAAATTTGTCTTGGTAAAATTGGCCTTCTCATGGGAAATGTGTGAACTAGATAAAGCCCAAGATGTTGATTTCAGAAGTGTTTCTTTTTTTTTTGTTCTGGTTTGGCTAATACTCTTCATCATGAGATTCACATTTACATTGCATAATGGTGATGCTGGGTAATGATTCTGATGAAATTAAGTACTATTCTGAATTTTGAAATGAGCAAGGATATGTGATGAAATATGGACTAATAAAATCATCTTATTGACATATTAGATTCACTATTTGTTATTGCTATTCTTGTTCCTTAAGTTGCATGCACAACTTAATTATGCTACCTATGTTTCTCGATCCTATCAAACCTAGTCAAGGCTGTTCTAACTTAAAGATAGCTCCACTATCCTGTCTTAAAACTTCACAATATTTGTTTTGGTGATATGGTGAAATGTATTTCTTTAAGCATGGAAAAGAATTTAACTTTTGTTAAATTTAAATGACCACTTCAATAATTTGAAATTCACAAAGATAGATAGATCCACTGTATGTTTTCTGTATTTGAAATTCACAAAAATGATTTGGTGATATGGTTTTCCTATTATTAAATTGCCACTAGTGTCATTCCAAGTAAATTATGTCCAGAGACAAAGTGGATGCTCTTTACTGCTCCTCTTTGATTTCAGTATCTCATTTGACTTTTTGTACTCTAAATCAAGGTTCTAAATATCGTACCATATTGATGTTTCGAGCTCGATACGCCTAAAATAGGCATAAGACCCTTCGAAAATACCTGAAAAATAGAAAGAAAAAAAATAAAGTTAGGATAGAGTTTTTAAGTCAGAAATAAATATACATTTAGTTTAGTTTTAGCAAAACTAATATAAATTAGGTAAGAATAGTGCCACATATTTTTTTCAGACTTTGAGGAGTAGCCTTTTGCAAGATTCACAATTTCGGTCCGTTCCAATATTGGTTAAATTATGATAACATATCATAAATATATTAAACACATAAAAAAAGTATTAAATACATAATTTTGATCCAATATAGGTCCAATTACGATGAAATCATCATTTGATACACTAATCACATTATTATTATAGTTAATTATCCACTAATTATTTTTCTTTCAACACTATAAACATGACAAACATCTTAATAGGTATTAAAGATATTGAATTGACCCAATATCGATCATATTTCGATTAAATCATCACTAAAATTACTAGTTATTAAAACCTAATTAAACCTATTATACCATCACAAACATATGATCCAATACTTAATATACATGAAATATAAACATTTGAACTATTAAGTGTCTAATTTTAAATAAATCAATATTAAACACACTAATCACAACATTAAAGACCTTAATTACTCCTTAATTAATATTATTCTACCATCAAAAGCAAGTTATAGTTTCGAATAATACCGCCCATACCGGGAGGTATGTACCAGTCTGTCAGTTGATTGGTACACGAACCGCCCATTATCGGACGGTATATATATATATATGTATGTATATATATATATGTATGTATATATATATATGTATGTATATATATATATGTATATATATATATATATATATATATATATA